ATATTTTTTATTAAGCTTCTGATATTAAGATGACCTATTTTGAAACCTTTATCCCCGTTTTTCGATTTTTTATCAACTTTACTAGTAATATTGCCTTCCTCCCGAGGCAACTCATTTGTTTGGTCGTTTATGACATCACCGGTTTTACCATACGAGTATGAGGTGTGCTCCGAGACAGATTCGTAGCATCAATTGTACTTAGAATTAAAGTAGGTAAGAAAGTTTTTTGCCATTATGCCTGTGCCAAATTTGTTTAAGTGCAGGCCGTAAGCGTTTAAGTGTTTGTCCTGAATGTTTTTATGTTTAATATAAGTTAAATTACGTCGTTGGCATGCTTTAACTAGCATTTCGTTTACCTTATCGACTTTCTGTGAGAATTCAGCTTTGTCGGTTCGGTGTATCAGCTCAGATATAACTACATTCGTTGTTGGACTTTCTTTCTTTATAATCTCCTCAATTTCTAGGATACCATTCACAATCTCATTAGTCTGTTTATCTCTTATATCATTTGTACCGACATGTAGTATGATTTGATCTGGCATTCTCGCTACGCATGGTCTTATGTGATGGCTCATCGCTTCCGTGTTCGAACCTCTGTACGTTTCCACATATATGTTGTGATTGCCTGCAGCTATCGATCGCTTTAGTCGTTTGGAATCAAGGTGTTTCACCATGGAGTCGCCAATTATAATGGTAGTTATTTTTTCGTTGGTATCTCCTTTCTTTACGTTTTGCTTTCTCTGGTTTGGGGTTTTATCTTGTCTGTTTCTGGTTGCATTATCTTCGTTTTGGCAGGCGTGATGTTCATTCTCGTCATTTATAGCGTTTTCTTCGAAACGAAGAGCAGAATACCTGTTACGTAATGGAATGTTTGTATTCGGTATTTCATTTGCTTTGTGCAATCTGCTTTGTGCAATCTGCCACCTCGCGTGGACAGGTTTGTTCAATATGATCATTAGGATAATTCGCTGAGTTGCATTTATTAGGTTTTGTGGTTTTCTCCCCAACATGTGCTGTCTCAGTCATCCGTGTGCAGTCGCCTTGAATTAGTTTCAAGGCTGTCAACAAACTTGCTTTTTCACTTTCAAGGTTCTTATTAGCTAATCTCAAGTCCGATATGGTGTGAGACATAGTCACATTTAATTCCCTAAGATCATCGTTCTTCTTGTTCAACTCATGCTTCTCTTGTTTTAAATCATTAACTGCATTTTCCAATACTAAGATAGAATACGGTTTGTTCTCTTTGATGTTGTTTACTTCAAAGGAAATATCTTCTAACTTATTCGTTACGCTTTGAGCGAACCTCTCAAATTTGGCTTTCAGTACACTAATTTCAGAGTCCCATTTATATTTATTGTATGTGTCTCTCGGGGGATTAGTTGTATTTACGTGCTCTCCGCATTCGTTAGAAACTTTATGTCGATTAGTCGGCATGTTAGGCACATTTCCATTTAACGATTTCATGGTCGATTTATGTTGGTTTGTACTTTCAGTATGCAAAATGGCTTCCCCTTGTTTTTCATGTTCAATATTCGTATTCTTATCTGCGGCAACGTTATCTGATGTACTGTGATCTATAAATGACTTAGCAGCTATATTAGTAGGGGACTCTGAGCTGAGCTCTTGAAGTAACTCTTGGGATATTGGCGGGTCGTCGTTAACAAAAGAACGATTTGTATCGTTGTGGTCGTCATGGTCTGGAGCTTCTTCGTTATTTTCAGCATTTACCTGCAGTTGTTTTGATATAAAAGCTAGGGAATGAAGCTTTTCTTTGATTTCGTTCTCTAGATTTCCACTCACAGTGATTGATTTTGTCGTAGGATACCAGCGAATGTCTAAGTCTTTGTTCTTAAATTGCTTCGCCTCGCCGCCAGGACAAATCCAAATGCCGTTAGCGATATTCAAAACTTCTTCGACAAACAGCTTCAACGATTCTAGCGAATCGGCCCATATCAGTTTGCCCTTGTCGTTCGTTGATATGCGACGCAAAAGGCTAACTCTATAGCCCTGAGTGAAACTCGATTCAGAATTTTGCATGTTTTTGTTGGAGCAATTTTTAGCACGTCTGAACACGTTGACGTCTTGGCTTGATGTCAATTGTCCATGATTATAAGCAAAATTAGTGACATCGACAAAATCAGTTCCCCTTCACACAAACTTTGTTCAGCGCTGGACAGTTTCATTGACAGGGAATTCAAGAAGATCTAGGCTTTGCGATGTAAATAGTAAACCATAAAAGGCCACCCTCGCCCGAGCGATACCTACGAAGGTAAAAACCACCGTGCCGGCCATGTTTTTAACTGAAGTAAAGATCCTGCGTTGACCACGTTTATAACGTTCTAAGCCGAAAAAATACTTGGTAGAGGTTTCTCCCTCTTCTGCCCATTGAACGTTTGCACGAGAATACGGGCTCCTCTCGCTTCATCTCGATGAGCAGCCTCCAGTTCACTTTTAACATCTTCAGTGATTGGAAGGACCTCGTCACCATTAAGCAGACGTTTGTTCAAATAAAATAATGTATGCTCTAACGATGTAATGAGCTTTTGACGGCTGACAGCTTTTTGCTTAGAAAATCCACGGATATATTGTTTTAGTCGCGCCTTGCCTGCATCCCACCACGCAGTAAGCGACAAGAAAGAAGATTTATACACTCTCCAAGATGACCAAAAGTCCGACATTAGTTTAACGAAGGACTCATCTGAAAGGTGCCGAGTATTCCACTTCCAAACACCATGTCCACGATGGGTGCCGGACGGAAGACAAAACTCCAAATATACATTGGAATGGTCAGAGCGGAAAAAGGGAAGGATATCGACACGCTTGACACAGGACAAGAGCAAGGCAGAAAGCCAAAGCATGTCTATTCGCGAGGCTTGACGGCCGTTGGGGCGATGCCAAGGGTACTCCTGAGCATTTGGATGAATTGTACGCCATGCATCGTGCAAATCATACGTGGACATTAAGTGATGCAAAGTCACTGACCAATTATAAGCCGTGGGTGATTGAGACCAAAACGGTCTTTGATCGGATCCAGCACAGTATTAAAATCGCCACACAACACCGTCGGGGTGTCGGGATCAAACACTTGATATAAGGATTCAAAGAAAGTAGACGCAGGCTTTGCGGTATTTGGAGCATATATGTTCACCAACTGGATAAAATAACCATCCTTGGAAAACTCTGCGCACAAAAGCCGACCATCGGTCACGAGAGCAACTGACAACATCATAACTAGGATTGTATAAAATGGCAACCCCACAACTAAGAATGGTTCCCGGAGAAGAAATGCATTTGTAACCAAACTTATTACAGTCCGACGAGGTGGCGTGATCCAACCAAGATGAAAACTCTTCCTCGGAACTTGAATGAATCTCCTGTAGACACACAAAATCAGTTTTAGCGCAATTTTCCCACTGAAACAACGTTCCTCTGTTATCAGCTGTGCGCAGACCCCGACAGTTTAGTGTGATAAATGTTAACTTGCTCATGTCGATTGTTGTAAAGGTCAAAACGAGGACGCAAGATGAAAACAATTCTGACATTAAAAAAAAGGATCGCCAATCCTTTTCGTTACCGGAACCGCAAAGGTTACGGGATCAATCGGAGATGGAGATTCCGAATCAAGATTTTCCTTCCTTGGAAGATTCGGTGGAATTCGAGTTGAGGGAGTAGTTCGAGTATCATTTTCCTGAGACGTGCTAAATTCTGAACAATTTTCAGGTATGTTAGGGTATTCGTTATCTTTGGCCATAGACGGTTCCATATTATCATTATCACCATCCTCCTCATCAGTGGCGTGCTGGGTACTATTTTTCTGGGGGGGCCAGTGGGCTGTCAACAAATATGCGCCCACGTGTTCTTTGAGCTCTGCCAAAATTCTGAGTTTTTTTTCTATAATATTAATATGACTGAAGTAAAGGCTCTGCGAAAAGAAAATCAAGATTTGAAGAACCAAGTGGAGCAATTATCGAAGGAATTTAAGAATCTGAGTGTTAAAATTGCCTCTGAGTCAAATCGGCCGACGCGTGAAGTTGAACAAGATCGCTCGATTCAATTTCTTAGCGACAAATACGATGACTTCCTATTATCGAATGCGACAATAAAGAAGGAACTTGATCGTCTCACCCATCGGCTAAACGAAATCACTAATAATGCTCAGAGAATTGAAAAAGCCCTTGATGATATTGAAGCGTACAGCTATCAGTACAACCTAAAAGTTATTGGCGTGCCAGAAATCACCGGGGGAGAATCAGCCCTAGACACAGCAAACCTTTGCCTAAAGTTGTTTACAAAGATGGGGGCCAATACGTCAATAAATGATATAGACATTGCCCATAGAGTACCTATAAGAAATTCAAATGTTAACAAGCCGAAGCCGATTGTGTGCAAGTTCACCAGGCGATTAGCAAAGGATGCACTCATGCAAGTCCGTAACGAGGCAAGGAAAATCAAACCCTCGCAGCTGGGTTTCAACATCGAGCTTGATGAGCAGTGCGATGTTATCAGAGTTTTCGAACACCTTACGCCAAAGGCTCAATCTTTACTCTTTGAAGCTAAGAAATTCCAGTCAGCTCATAATTATTCCTATTGTTGGGCAAAATCTAACTCGGTATATCTAAGACAACGCGATGGCTCACGCGCGATCAAGATTGTTGAGCTGGATGATCTTAAGAAACTCTCAGAAGGATCCTCAAACACTTATTAGGATACAGATAAGTATCCCTAAATTTTGTTGTGTGTTTAACTTGTATCGCGAACCTTTAGTCAAATGGCGCTAGCTTATAAAGAGCAATGTAAAGAGAACAAGAAGTATTTTTCTTTATTGCCATATAACCGTCAAAACATATCTCAAGTGCATGGAAGTTTTAATAATAGTTTACCGAATGCATTACCTTCAAAAAATACCCTAGATTCGTTACCTAGTCTATTTGATGTAAATATTTTTAACTTAAGTGCCACCTTTGATAATGATATTAATCCTGATCGAAACTTGCATTCATTAGTTCGGCATGACTGCCGTTACTTTTCGCCGCATAGTTTTCAAACTTATAATAATAGCTTAGCAGATACGTGCAAACATACGCTTTCATTTTTACATAATAATGTAAGGAGCCTCAAAAGAAATATCGAAGCGTTCCAGAGCCACCTGTTAAGTGAATTGAACTTTAGTTTCAATGTGATTGGTGTTTCTGAAACGCGAATAACTGAAAATCAACCATTAACTTTTAATCCTGATTTGCCGGGATATAATTTTGAATACGTTCCAACGCCACTCTCGGCTGGAGGAGTTGGCATATATATTGCAGATAATATTAATTACTCTATTCTAGAAAAAACTTCAAATATGTACTTTCAGGCTCTGTGGGTAGAACTCGCCGTGGGGGATAATCAGAGTGTTATCTGTGGTGTCGTTTATAGACAACATAATGATCCAACCAAATTTTTAAATTATCTGTGCGAAACCCTATACAATTTCAATAAATCGTCTAAGACTGTTTGCTTAATGGGTGA